ATCAAAACTGAAATCAATCAAATCCCTGCAAACCAATACTTGAAAATTAATAAGGCTAAATTAAGTACCTGGGTTCACTACGTCGAAAAAGGTTATAACAACATAAATACGTGAGAATTTAGTCACATCTACATATATTTCATTCTTTAACCGATGTTATTCAATAATATTAGAAAATAGAGGTTGAACGGACTGTTGTCCGGCAGTTAGTTAGCATTATGAATCTTATTTTACTTTCACAGAATATCGTCATTTATAAACTTTGATAAACATATGAAGACCATCTAATAGACCTTGCCATCATTTGCCATCATTTCCTAAATTAAATATTTCGTAGGTCAAATTGTACTACTCATAGTAGTATGATATAAATAGGGAATTTTACGGCTTCGCCATTTATTTTTTGCAGCTTTTGTCAGCAACCAATGGTACATTTTCAATGGTTAATCAATGACAAAATCAAACTTGGTATTTTTTAGGACTGAAAAACATTCGTATATTGAACTGTCTTCAATATTTACAAAGAACGTTTACTCTATGTGATCAGCTGAATTCGAGAAACAGGACATCAATTTTAGGTCACGCTGGTAAAGATAATTTACAAAGTGTTAGATATCAGACAGAATATATCCACTTCAGAACTCATTTGGCCCCAAAGATGAAAACCTCCTACACTTAGGCAATCGAACTACAGTTTTACAACAAACTTTTACAGATAGTTGTCTGCTTGGAGAGCCTTATCAATCTTTTTGTATTATTCAATGATTCGTTTGGTAAATTTTTAGTGTTGACTGAATTAGGTTGATTTCAACTGTACTGTAAGGAATAGATCAGTGATTCATCATTGCAGTGCAATGCATCTGGTGATAGATATTTGTAAGCAGTTATCATTCAGTCATACTTTACTCTGAAAATATGCCTGCTAAATTAAATATTCAGTTAATTTCTATGATGAATGATTAATACCAAAAGACGATTTGGTTGTCTCCCACAGTTGAATACACTTTCACCGCAAAGCACAGACAAATGGAGTGTTGAAGACGGCATTACTTTTATCATGTTCACAATAAATGTTACTGGTACATAATAAGTTATGGTAAGATTTATAAGCCACCTGTAATTTGGGTAACACACAATGATAAAGTACACTGGATGTATTATTCACTTTGCTTTAGAAACTATCTAATCACAAAAGGGTATTGTCTATTTTAAATCAAAAACGGATCACCTACAGACATAATTATTTAAACTTCCTTTATTCTATTATCAACGTACTTTCTCCAGTCACATATAGGAGATATTCATTCAAGTATTAAAAGGAGTTAGCTGTAGCTTCTTTACTTGGATCCGTAACTCCAGCATTGAATAGGATAGATTTAATCTCTAAGAAAAAGTTCAGAAAAACTTAGTCTACAATCGGAAACAGTTAATCGACTTAGATCTAAAATTTCCCAGTAATTAGTTTCAGAAATCCGAAAGATAAAAGAAACGTCCTAAAGTTTATGCTACTTAATCCAGTGGTCAAATACTCGTCCTTTCTCGACAAGTTAGCTCCTAATACAGGTATTTAACTATGCTTAATGGTAAATATGGTGTTAGTTGGTTGGTGATGACTAACAAGAGGATCCCAAACAGGCGTTTCAGCCTAACTACGACTCTTCATCTGGATGTGCCCGTAACTAAGTGAGCGGTGGAGTTTCTACCAAGACTTGACCACAGCACCTACCGTTTCAAACCTTATAGCTCTACTACACCATGGGAGTCACTTCTTGTGCAGTAAGCACTCATTGTTACTGTCCACCATCAAAAAATGATAAATAAAATATCATTCATATTCAGGTATTGGTTTGTAGGGATTTGATTGATTGGTTACAGGATTTCATCATGAGCTGACATTGGTTAGGGAACCGTTGGAAAACCTGGGAGTACTGGACAGCTGTTTCGTCCTAGTTCGGGACCCCTCATCAGTACGCACCCACAGGGGTTCAAACCGAGGACCTTTTAGTTACAAGGAAAGCTAGCTCGTAGACCATTAAGCCACTGGTACCCGATCCAATGACCAGCCCATGAATTCCAACCTCTGCCAATTCATGACATAGCGTGACCGCTAGCTAATTTCTTCGGCGAGTATTTCTCCTCACACCCGACCTACTGCACCCTACTGGTCACGACTTCCCACTAGAACCCCAAGTACCATTCAAATGGAACAATTAAAGTTGTGTAGGACAAATGCTAAATCTAGTCTTTTTGACTCCCTTAAATCAATGACACACCAAAATAAGAGGTTCCATTTAACAATTTGGCTTTTACTGCTATGCGCTGAAATATCATGTTTTCACTCCGATTATTAACAAAGGATGATATCCTTTAATAAGAAGTTTTCTTTATTCATACAGAGCATGAATCCTCCTTAAATTACTGATCAAATTAAGTGTTAAGTTTAATTAAGTCTAGCTATTTTCATTTTATTTTTGATTACAACACCAAATTATTGAAGTCAGATGGAAAGACTCAACACTGAATCGATTTAGTTGAACGGAACTAAAATATTCATATTTCTGACACTGACAGTTGCTAACTAGAATTGATTCTCTGACACATGCTACCACTGAACTGATATCGGAAGACAAAACATCTGGTTATCAAGTACACATATACATTTCTGATGAAAGCATTGTCAGTCATGTACAAAAGGTGTTGGTTGCCAAGAAAATGTAACTACTATGTATTTACTAAGCAGCTAATAGTCAGTTAAGGACTACAGATAAGTCAGATGAAAAATCTTACCGTCAGGGTTGCATTACTGCTCCCTAAGTTATTCGAATCAAGTAAATAATTTTCATTCAAACAAGTATACATCAACAGTTCAATATGACTGCCTTTGTTAGAAAGTCGAGATGAACTTTTTGGTCGATTGAAATATATTGACAAGTGAGCCAAACTATAGACAGAATACCGTCAAACAGATTCCTAAATACAGACCTCATTTGTTTAAGTCAGTTCTGATTTTCTCGTTGGTTGACTGGACTGAGATGTTTGATCCCTGTTGACTTATCGTCTCCTAGTAAGACGCTTCGACGATGTCCAGGGATTAACACGAAGCAATTTAGCGGATGATGTGTCGCAATGGAACCCATGACGTGCACTTTGTCTTATTTGGGACTCATCACTTAGATGTGTTGGTATTTTAACCTGGGACCCATCGTTTCAAACGCCAAAGTGTGTGATCATCAGAGCGGAATTCCACTGCTTGTCAACATCCACCAAATTACTTCAAGTTAAAACCTTGGACATCTTCGAAGCATATGTACTATGAGCCGACATTTCAACAGAGGCATAACATCGCTGTCCAGTTAATCAACCAGAAAATCAGAATTGACTTAAACAAATAATAACTGATGCCGGCTGCACAAACGGTGGCTATGGTAACGGATAATACGTTTTACGTTTGAAACTATGGATATCAGGTTCAAGTCTCAGTGGGAACACTGTCACTCACTGAGGAATGTTTGAGCATCTAGCTGACGAGTCCCAAAATAAGACGAAATGCACCGCTTGGATTCCACTGCTAGTCGCCATCGCCTAAATTACTTCCAGATGTGTTCATTTGTAGAGTTAGGAGATAGATCGAGATGAATATTACTCACAGCACAATGCTTTAACTTGAAAATTAGGTAATATTTAATTTCCTCATATATACTAAGTAACTTAAATGAAATGACTACAATTTTTTATCCTATAAATGGAATATTCTCACTCTTAATACCCAATGAAATTAATCCTAACTGAAGGACACAGAAATACGGACGACTTAATTTGATTAAATTACCAATCAAAATAAAGTGAGGTAGAAATATATTTGTATTGATTTTCAAATACATCAGAATTCCCCTAACCATATTAAACTGAGAAATTGAAATATTGGCCAAAGTCTTATGGGACACGTGTCCACTTAGATTAGTGTTTTGGATATGTAACATGTTAACAGTTTGACGGTATGACATTCTAAAGTTGTACATCTATTTATCCTTATCACCCGACCTTTGAATATCAATGGTTAGGCAAAAGACTAAATGAACACTAAAATAGAGAATTTTCGTAAAAGAGAAAAAGAAGAGAGTGAAAGAGAACGCGCATACATACTAACTATGTATGTATGTGTGCAGACTGGTAGAGGTAGATAGATAAAGGAACAGAATATGAAAAAAAGAGTAACGAGATAGGGGTGAATAGGATAAGAAGTGAGGAGAAAGAATCAAGTCATACAGCAGTGTAGATGGCTTTCTGTTTAAAAAAAGAAATGGTTGATAAATCTAACTATACGAAATTTATTTGATGAATATATATCAGGCAGATTAGTTCGTTCAGTTTCTAATACCCTTCAAATTGTTCATCCTCATTGGTCAACAGCGTAAGCATATATTTCCATCTATATAATAACTGGAGACTACACAAGTACGATAAACAAATCGCCTCTAGTTATTAGAGCAGCTAACCTAATTTACTTATTACGCATAAACCTACCTAATAATTTACTCATTATTATGTCTGAACTTAAACTCATCACACACGTCAATACTAATTTATACATTCAAAACAGTAAAGTTAGTCAATCAACACTTTTATCTAATTAACTACAGTCTGCCCTCATTTGTTTTCCACATCATATTCTCCGCTTTCACGAAGTGATTACAGAGTTAGTAGTGGAAATTAAATTAAAATTAGTGGGTATTTTTTTTCTATTGATTCCTGTGCAAATTATGGTATTGCATATCCTATATCCATCTGACTATTCTACATATCAGGTCAAACACAAAAAAGGCATAATCGTGTTGATAATTTGAAACGTAAAAGTTTGTAATAAAGAGAGAGAGAAAAGTGTTATCGAAACAAGTGTGTCATACACAAACCCACCCACACACACATTCACAATTTCATTTAACTTTCTTTGGGACATATTCCCCATTTCTTTTGTATTTAAATTTTATTACTAAAATGAAATGAATATGATATCTCAATTACAACAACAACAACAACAACAACAACAGCAACAAGTGCAACTTCAGCATCGACATCATTCATTTGAGAACATCCCTGTGAATAAAACTGGTCTAACACACTTTTGTTTGAATTTACCTGAAATAAGTTCAACAGCGGATAATTTAAACGGGTATGCTATACATACTGATGTAAATGAACAAGTAGAAGTAAACAGAAATAATGAAACTACTACAAATCTTAACAATCATGCTGAATTTGAAGAGATTCGACCGAGAAGTTGTGCTACAACACCTTCATTTAATATTAATACCACATACAGTGAAAATATTAAATCTACTGAAGGTAATACAGCTTTATGTAATCTCAATAAAAATAAAATTGATCATCAAATTAATGATGACTATGCTAAATCAATATCATCGCCTAATTCAGTTGCATTACATTCACTGCATTATACACCAAATACTACTATTACTACTTCTGATAATAGTAGTATTGATTTCAATCAAGAAATATGCTACAATTCCAAGTATCCCAGGTTTCACAATTCGTTAACAAAGTATAATGATTACAATCACACCAGAACTACAACAACAGCAACAGCAGCTAGTGATGAAAAGAATGGCATTAATGCAATAGAACAAACGAATAATAATAATAGTAGTAGTAGTATGGATTTTAATGAATTTCAAAGAAATGTCAAACAACTGATTGACTATGGGTTAAATAATCATTTAAGGAGTGAGTACAACTCAACACAGTTACAATCACTATCTTCACAATTGTCGACATCAAACAGTAGGATAATTAAACATCCTATGAATAAAAATGAAGGTTATGAAGGCGATTTAAACAAAGAAGAACAAGAAGTCATAGCAGAGGATATAAGAAAAGACAAAGGACAGAATATAAACGAAGAACATGTGAATTTAGTTAGTGAAGGTATACTAGACTCATTAAATTTTAAATTAGGAAAAACAATAGAAAAAATGGATGTTCTGAATCACCTACAAAAGCTTAGTAAGTTAATTTATCCATAACGGTAAAAATTAACAGGGGCTTAATTATATATCATGTGTTCAGATGCTTATGATGTGGTCAGTATACACTACAATTGCCAACTAATATTATGTGATGTACACGTGTTCTTACTCTTCAAAATGCATAGTTTAACAATGCAAACCGGTTAAATAGATTTCCCTATGAGTTCAGATATGAGCTTCACTTAAGATGTGGGGTCTATGACGTCAGCTTATTTCTAAAGTTAGGTAGAGTAGGCGGATCGCAGTATGGATACAAAATCCACTAATTGGAAGCTGAGCGATTAAGCTTCTCACACACACTACTTGTGTTCGTGTGTTTCTGTATTTTATTCTAATTTTAATGCTTTATTGAGATGCAACTTGCTTATTTAGCTAAATAAATGAAAAATATCCTGAGCATTAATGCGCTCAATGACTCAATGCTTTGACACTGATGGCCTTTGAACTATTAGCATGACATCTAAAACTTACGAAACGACAGTGTTAAATGTTTGACCGTCAAATTAGAGATCATAATCAGTGCAGAAGATATTCCTAACTGTATTTGCTTTCTTCAATAAATGAATCTGAATTTCATTTAGTTTAGCAGCGGGATTTTTATGCCTCTTAGTAAACTGAAGTGATTGACGATCAGTAACTGGAGATTTTATATTATAAATACCTTAACTGTGTTGAAACTATGTCTTCCTTTAAAGAAAACCTATTTTTAACATGAGTATTTATTCCATGAACACAAGAGCACTCATCAGCTGTTGTCTCCAGTTCATTCCCTACAATATATATATATATAATTTAAGGATTTATTGATTTTCTAAATGGACTAATTCTGTGTCTTATCTTTCCCCTGGACTGTTACAATAACACTGGTGATGGGTATTTCTGCCAGTTTCTTTAGACATGGAAAACGAAATTCAAAAATTAAACTTTATAAGTATTTAGCATATTACTACAGCCAAGAAACTAAGTGACTTGAAATAGCATCACATAACATTAAGTACTGGCTAAACTAACTGATGACCGGTTATCTTCTTGTTAGTTGTAATTTACTCAGTGGAGAAAACGAGAAATCGAACTGGGAGTTTTATGAGGAATTTATTAGTTTCAGTATAGTTCTTAATGCAGATCGGCATCAGTGAGAGAATCAATGATAACTCTCAGAATGCTTTATGAAGCTGGTAACTACTCTTAGCTAGAAACCTTATGAATTTGTATTTTTGAGAGGCTTAGACTGGCATAAAATAGATGTTCACCTTTCTGTGATTTTCTAGGATTATTTAACTGATTGTCCTTTATCATACAAAAACTATTCTGAAAATTCTTTACTACTCCTATTACTGCCGATTTACGACTGTTTAGTGTGCAAATGAACTATGCCTTGTTTGTGGTTTATGTAATTATGGCTTTTTAAAAAAGCTACATAGGTTAATGAAGTCATATTTTCCCCTCTAAAATATTCATTTCGTTAGACTTTCTAAATAAAAGACTGATAGCATATAATTCTTTCCCTTGATAAACTTGTAATCTGTATTTTCTTTTTTCTACTATGTTTACAACACAAACTTCCGTCCATCAGTAACACAGATATGTCGTATACTTTCTTCATTCACAGTCGGTGACTGCATGTCACTTTAACTGCACTACTTTAGTTTTAACTGCATGTTTTGTCTGAATTGTTTCTAGGTTAGTTAAAACTCTTTACTAAGCAGCTATCATCAGAAATAAACATCAAAATTACTTCAATTTATGTCATCTTCTAATCGTTTACCTGCCAATGTTAACAGTAAGTTGTGCTAAGATATTTGTTACTAAAACCAGAGAGGAAATAACTTCATAAAGCAGAATAAGTCTCCTATCCACCCACAGGAAACAGAAACCCCAATAATTTACAGTCGAAATGTAAAGAAACCCACAAATATTACGTCATTAAAATAAATTTTCAAGAGTTGATTTGTATGGATTTGACCACGGATTGATATCAGTTAGAGCAACATTAAAAACCAGGGAGTACTGAATAGCCAGCTGTATCGTCTTAGTTTGGAACTCATTGGAAGTGCGATCCCCCTGTGTTTCGAACCCAGAACCTTCCGGCTGAAAGGCAAACTCATGTGCCATTTACCCACTGGGACCCAATTCAATGGCGCATGAATTCTAACTTCTATCAATTCGTGGTGCATTTAGCGCGACCACCAACCAATGTCATCGGTGGAAAATCCATCGTCACTCCCAACTGGATGGACCTCACTGATAAATAATGCTTTATACTTATTTATGCATAATTTTTGTGTCATTTCGCTCTTCTAGCATTGCATATTTGATTACGAATAGATATCACTTAGAAAACCGCTGAGAGCCATGGAATAGTGGACAGCTGTTTCATCCTAGTTCGGGACCCCTCAGAGGTATGAAACCATAACCCCATCACTATGGCTCAAATCCATGACTGCCAGGTTATCAGGCCAATCCAGTGAGATTCAGTCACTGGAAGTGAATTCTCATATATGTCAGTTTTCCATATACGGTGCAACCACCAACCACACACCGAACTTGGTGAACTCCACTGGACCAGTACTCCCTGGTTTTCAGTGATTCTCTAACTAGTTTCAGTAAGTGATCAAACTTGAAATCAATCAAAATCCTTTGAAATCAAAACACAGTTTCTGTATTGTTATTATTATTATTATTTTCAGCAAATAGTCACTCATATGTCATTTACTTTTGAATAACCCACATAATTTATTTTCCAATCGGTTGAAATATTATCCTTCGTAAACTGTCAGTTACAGATAAATACTTCATCGAATCACTTTTTTGTAAGATATTTTGTTGAAAGAAATAAGAAATAAGATATTCACATATGAACATTTGTTATTATAGATATTATTTAGTAAAGAAAAGATTCATTTGAACAAAATAGGAAGGAGAAATCCATTTTATTAAATTTAGTATATCCGGTTTGTAAGAATTTAGTTCACTTTATCATAGATTCATTCAAGAATACATGTTACTTTGTAGACCGTTGATAACCGAAGACCAATGAATAGTTGTTTCGTATTAGTTTGATACTTCTGAGCAGTCTCTTCCTTGGACTCCTGGATGGGTTTAATCTAGAAGTGCTAAGTTTCGAAGAAGGCAAATTACTATTTAGTCATTCCACTGTCCCAATTAGAGATATCATACAGGCATCAAATAGTCACACCGACAAATAACTATCCTGCTGAGCATTCCTGATTTTAATAGAGATTAATTTGGAAAGTTCTGTCCATTCATTATGAGACTTATAGTAATTTGGTAAATTACATGATTTATTCATGATGATATGCTCAGATTTGTAGAGACTAGCTGTCATTCCTCCACCTATTACCTAAAAACATTTTTTTATTCCTTCACGTTCTCAGTGGAACATAGGGCTTCAAACTAAGGGCTTGAAGTTTCTGTAGCAGCGTTTATTTTTACAGGATGGGGTTGCCAGCCTCATGCCCAGCCTTTCCTCTTTACCAGCTTTTATTTCTGGCTTAGTGAGGTAAGGGAATGCGTCGGTCGGGGATCGAACCCCGGACCATATGTACATCATACATCATACAAATTCGCTACAGTTATTATCTAATGTTAAAACATGACTTCTTATAAATCATATCAGTTTACTTAATTCTTCGGTTAAGTAGAAGTAGCCACAATAATCGATCGCTTATAAACATCACACTTTAACAGAGAAAAGCACAACTTATAGGCATGCACTGATTAGTTGGAGCTGTATATAAGAGGTACCTGAATATTTTCATGTTTTTCATTATGATTTTGTGTATTTAAGTGGTATGTAGTAGTTTAAGCTGGTCATCTACAGACAATTTTGTCTAAACAAATAACTCAAAAGTTAGGACGTTATAACAGAAAATCAAAAACAAAAAAAATTGGAATAAAAACTAATAACTATTATGAATGAGAGGTGGTTATCGTAAATCAACAGTTAAATTAGTGATGCCTTTAGCATTTAAGTCAATAAATGTTGGTTGATCAGTCCTAAACAAAATAAAACGTCTCCCTTAGATCCTACCAGCAACCATTGATCGATTCAGTTCATTGATTTAGAGAACGCCAATGATCACAAGTCCAAATAGGAAACCTGCATAATATGATACGCTTTTATTATTGGCAATTATGTAAAGGTAGAATCTAGGCAGAAATTTTAACCCAGATTAAATTCATCGATGTAGTAATTCTTCAGCCTCATTTGGTAGGATTTCATCTTTTTCAGGCACTAGATTAACACTACTATAAGGTCAGTTCAAATTTTGACAATGCGGTCTAAATAATGCAGTGTATACTGTTGATGAGTTCCACGTTAATTGATTAAAACAATCTTCGTATGTTTATTTGACACACAGACACTTCTAGGCGGCCTTTCTAAAACTTGGGCTACTGATAAACCTACATGAATATATTGCATATAATTTCTCTTATTCACATTGTTTTATTCCAGTAAAATATGACCTGTAATAGTGTTGTTTACTCTGTTTCTATTAAACATGAGAAAAATCATTATCTTCTATGGCAGCTTATCCTAATACATATGACAACAGTTCCTGAGCGATATCCTTGGTTCACTAGATATACTCCTGAACTTTTTATAATAGGCATTCAGTACAGTTTCTAGCTTTTCTTGAAGGAGATTAAGAAAGAAGAAATATCATAGTGGATTGATTTGCGCTTCAGGTCAGACAGTGCTGTGTCACACGATCTACTGTCAATTAACCTTTTATTTGAAGATCCTAGACGAAGAGGAAATATCACGCAATAAAAATTCCGTTGAAAATTCTGTGCATTATATGGAAATGGTTCAGAATAAAGCTATTACTATTATTATTATTATCTAGTTGATGAAAATGGCTAGGTGAGAGATGCGCTTTCAAAATAATTGGTAATAAATGTTTTCCTTCACTGGACATACATATTTTTAGATTCTCATGATAGATATTGGTG